CTCTTCGAAACCTCACAATCACTCTTTTGGGCTTCCTTCGGCTTAGTCGATTTGGTATCATTCGATTTAGCTGGCATTAAAAGCTTCACACGCTTCTGGGCTTTACTCATGTTCGGCTCATACTCGGTGATCAATATCATTGTGCTGCTCAACATGCTCATCGCCATGATGTCTAATTCATATCAAATAATTTCGGAACGCGCAGATGTTGAATGGAAATTCGCACGCTCTCAGCTTTGGATGAGCTATTTCGAGGATGGTGGCACCGTACCGCCACCATTTAATATAATGCCATCAGTAAAGTTGCTGCGGAAAACTCTGGGCAAGGAGGCACCAAAGCGTACTAAGAGTTTTATGGTAGGTATACATAATGGGAATCCAAATGTCAGTTTTGCCAAATGCCAAATTTAGAGCTGATTCAATATTTTAAAATGTGATGTATTTTGGAACGAACATCCGTCATTTCTGCAATCTTTAGTGTCATATGTCGTGTTCGTAAACTTATTTAAGTAATGGAGTACCTTGTCGAAACAAATAGGCTGGGATATTCTCTTTGGTTAATAAAGTATAATTTGTAAGGAAGTTGGACAACTTGCGAAAACTAAATATCTTAAATATTGGCTGTCATAGAAATATTAAATTATCCACGAGGCCTTCTTAATAACTTTTCAAAGAACAATACAGCAGTATTGTCTTCCAAATACTAAGAATGTTCGTGATTTTCGTATTCGCCATATGCGATACCACGTTTGATGTGGTTGCCTATTCCACAAGTTTAATAGTAAATAATTACAGTAGAAGCTCATATTTGGTAAGTTCAATTAGAAATCCATTCAAACCCTCTGACGGAAATAAGTTTTTTTGCTATCTTGTGAAATTTTCGGACTACCTTATACGTGGTAATGCATTTGGCTTATTGCGCGCCAAGCGCCGAAATGGTTTCCGATGTCCTTTGCCTTCCAATCGCCACAGAAAATGTGGAAAGAATATTTTCCCAAACCAATTTGAATAAAACAAGAAATAAACTAAATATTCCAGTAGCCTTTAGTATTTAAAGAACTAAAAATTAACAAAAAAAATTTTCAGAAGTTACTAAATTTGAGGTATCGAATAATATGCTTGAAAAAATTAACAGAGCGATTTACGAAAAATAATGAAACTGAATTTCATTAAAAGAAAATGTGATTTGAATTAACCACTTTGTAAAGTATTTTTTGTTTATTTAAGTACAATTTGAACGCTTTCGGTTATTTTTGTTATTTATGTTTAAGTAAATTAAGAAACCTTCATTTCTAAAAAAAAACTCTTCGTTTTTTGAAGGTTACAGTTTTTTCGTCGATAATACCCTTTTTGCGTAAACTTACAGTTTTTGAAAAAAAATTTCTGGCAACACTGAAATCTACAAAGATATGTAAACCAAAATCGTGGCTCTCTTAGGAAACCAGGGACCAGTTTTTTGAGTTTAAATTGCTATTTCAAGCAATTAAATTTAGCCTGGAGTTTATATCCTACATTATATTCAATTTGTGACTACGTAACCAAGGCTTAAATCACACAAAACTAAACGAAGTAAACAATAAATATTTCCTATATCCCTAACCTACCTCACTCGGCAATAAGACATATTTACATATCTTACGCTATATCATGTGTGTAGTTGCAAAAATAAAACGGGAAACTCTTCAACAGACAAACCCCTTTGGATTGCAGATTTAAATAGATTACAGGTCATTATTAACAATTTCACAACTTGAAAAGCTGTGGCCAAGATAGATGTTTTGCAGTTGGTGGTCTTACGTCAACGCCGCAGTGCACCAAAGCCTAGCTGCACCAGCTGCTACAATCGGCGCCAAAGTTGTTTTAGAAAAATCAAAAAATTTCTAATCTGCATTTCATAGTTTGTAGCAGCAACATTTTACGTCTTTTCGCTTACACAACACACAACATACTATCACTTCTCTTTCCAACTCAAACTCTCAACGCGCTATCCACTCTCTCCTGTCTTTGCAGCGTAAAACTAAGGAGCGCGCACAATCGTTACACGACAAAGTCATGAAGCTGCTAATACGGCGTTTTGTCACCGCAGAGCAGCGAAAACGCGACGACTATGGCATAACCGAGGATGATATCATTGAAGTGCGTCAGGATATTAGCTCTTTGCGTTTCGAACTGCTGGACATTTTCCAAACCAATCGCTTCAATGTGCCCGATATTGAGAAGAAAACAGCAGGTAAGTAATGAACAGCTGTGACAATGAATTGATGAGCGCGCTCCCTAGCAAATTTAAATGTTTAATGTGTATTTACAGCTGCGGCGGCTGGCACGAAGAAGGGTAAGGTAATGGAACGACGTATACTTAAAGATTTCCAAATCGGTTTTGTTGAGAATCTGCAACACGAAATGACCGTAGGAGATGAGGGTAGCAAGGATATCTTCTCATCGTTGGCGCGAGTAATTGGCAAGAAGAAGTCGCTGAAGTCGGGGTAGGTGTAGGCAGTCAATGGATGAGCGTTTAAAGTGTTGAGTGTGCTTTTTATTTGCTTACAGTGACAAGGATTGGAATGCCATTGCACGCCAAAATACAATGACTGCAGATCCGATTGGCTCGAAGCGTTCGTCCATACAGCGACATAGCCAACGCAGTCTGCGGCGCAGGATTATCGATCAGGCGAACGAAGGTCTCAAGATGAATCAGAATCAGCTAATTGGTGCGTATAAACTGTTTTTTTTTTTTGAAAACATTTATCTAACCTCCAAATTAGTTTGGAACGTTTTTTGCTCTTTTAAAATGTCTCACATTTACTCAGTGATGCCAGACATTCTCTGTTAAAAATCCCACGAAAATGGGGAAAAAATCCCTCAATTACCCACATCTTGAAAATTTATCCCTCAAAATTCCCAACGAACAACATGTTTCAGTAGTAAAGAAGTAAAATTCATATAAAATAATAATAATAGTTTGGCGCTTACACATATGTGCTTTTCCTCCAATTTGTGGCGGTCCCCTTGATGTGGTCACACAAAGGGGAGGGACCTACAGTTTTAAGTCGACTCCGAATGGCGACTGTATTTTTATGAGAAGCTGTTTTTCATGGCAGGAATACACTCGGAGGTTTGCCATTGCCTGCCGAGGGCCGACCGCTGTTAAGAAAAAACCCCTTTTCCTGCATTTTTTTCACTCATTCAATTTTTCACTCTAATTTTTTTGCTCACTCACTGCTATTTAACATTTCACCAGATAATTTGTTCCGCTTTTTACATGAAATACCAGTTACAACTGAAAAGATTCTTTCTTACTCAGCGCTTGAATTGGTTAACGTAAGAAAATTTTCGAAATTGTTCTTATACTTTTTAACAATTATATACCATTTCACTCCACATCACATCTTCAGAACGATTAATTAAGTCGAATGTCGAATATTCATGAATTTTGATCAATTATGCAACAATAACTGCGTCAAAAGAAAATCCCTTATTTATATGAAATGTCCCTTTTAATAATTTTTGATGCAAAATATCCCTCAAATAGGGAAATTTCCCACAATCTGGCACCACTGCATTTACTACGAAATGGTATTTATTGTATTTCCTTCCCTCACAGAATATAATCCCAATCTCGGAGAAGTAACTCGTGCCACACGTGTTGCTTATGTCAAGTTCATGAAGAAGAAGATGGCTGCTGATGAAGAAGGTGCCGCGAGCGCCCCTGCAGATGCTGAATCCGTAACAAGTACCACCCTTAAGGATGAAAAAGCTGCAGGCGTAAGTATTGGCCGCATTCAGATGTGTACTATATACATATACACTATAGCTAATAATTTACTCCATAACTTTCTTCCCTTCAACTGCAGTCAAAGAAGGTCAAGTCTGATGAACAGAAAGCCGCTAGCGATGAAAAAGCTGATGCCGTTTCCAAAACTTCAACTTCCAAAGATGGCAAGCCGGGCGATGGCAAACCGGCCGCACCAGCACCGCCTGGAAAGCCCGCAGCTGGCGCCAAACCAACCGATGCTGTAAAGAAAGACGATGCGGGAAAGCCTGCTGCCGGCGCTGCGCCAAAACCAGCGCCAACTGCTGCCAAACCTGATGCGACTACAAAGAAGGATGAAGCCGCTAAGCCCGCAGGTGCGCCGGCTGCTGGCGCCGCTAAACCAGGTGATGCAGCAGCCGCTAAGCCAGCTGTTGCCAAACCCGGCGAATCTACAAAGCCTGAAGCTGCCACAAAGAAGGAGGATGCGGGAAAAACTGAAGCTGCTAAGCCCGGCGCTGCAGCTGGCGCTGGTGCGACCGCTGCCGCCGCCAAAGGTGCTGCACCAGCTGCGCCAGCGGGTGCTAAGCCAGATGCGCCAGCTGCTGGTGGTGCCAAACCAGCAGATGCGGGACCGGCGACTACGAAGGCTGCAGGTGATGCTGCCGGTGGTAGTGGTGCTGGTGCTGCAGGTGGTGCCGGAGCAACTGCAAAAACGGACGACAAAAAGGCTGATGAGAAGAAGGGTGACGAAAAGAAGCCGGATGACAAGAAGCCGGACGACAAGAAAGCAGCAGCGCCTGCAGCTGCCAAGCCAGTTATTAAGGTGGGTCAAAGCAGTGCGGCAGCTGGCGGTGAACGTGGCAAATCGACGGTCACAGGTCGTATGATATCTGGTTGGCTATAAGGTGGGAATTTATATATGTATCTAGGAGCCAACGATCTACATAAGTATTTTCAAAACAAACACACTTACATACTGAGCTTTGTATGAGACAAATAAATTTATATTAAATTGAAGTCATTTTAAGTGAAATAAATAAAATTTGATGAAAATGTTAAAAACATATATATGTATAACTATTTCAATGTTTTTCAAATCACAGATAATTATTTACTAAAAAACCTTCGCCTCATCTTTTTCTTGTTTGGTTTGTGACCGCCTCAGCGATTCTGACCAAGTCCAAGGAAGCATGCCGGTAATTTTTCTTCTGTGCCAAGTAACGCCAATTGGAAATCTTAAGTGAATCCAAGTCCTTCTATACCTAGTCTTTCCTAAGCAGAGTGACTTTCCCGTTCCTATGTTACCACCAGCGGGTTCCGAATTGAATTCTAGGTCGCTCTGGTATTTAAACCTCCTCTAACAGATCTATTCTGCACGTTACCAAAGATTTTGTAACCGGAAAATTTTATTACCAAAAAATGTTACCAGTTCTTGTCACCGCGATTCTGTGTTTCTGGAACTCCATTGATTGAAATAAATGCAAGAAGACTGTTTGAGCGGTTTTTTTTCTGTCGAGAGAAGAGAGCGACACTAAAAAAACACAACTCGCGAGATTTGCTCACATACATTTAAGAGTAGCCATATTCCATATCTGATACTCAAGATACTCATATAAACTTGGAATTTATTTTATTTTTTTTTGCACAAAACGATGGCTCATAACTTTGATCATTAATATATTACTCCTAAAGAATTCATAGAAGGGTAACATATTTCTTGCTTTTGAAACTCACATTTCTTACCTACATAATATGGTAGACAGACGGCGAAAATTAATTAGAATTAATAAGCAAATTAATGCAAATTAAAATTTTACCCTTACAAGGTTCGAGTCCCACGGCCAGTAGACTTTTTTTATTTCTTTTTCATTCTTTTTTTTATAAGTTCTATATTTTTGTACCTTGCTTTCAGTTAGTTATTGTTGACTTTTTAATAAAATTCAACTCTTAAAATTAAAATTAACTAATAGTAAAATAAGAAATGTGTTATAAAATAAAGCAAATGAAAACAAAATAAAGTAAAATTAAATATATAAATAAAATAAAATAAAAAAATATTAAAATAAATAATAAAAATAAAAAAATTTTCGCAATCGCTCCAACCGAAGATCGAACCTGGCAGCTACAGGCTTGTAGCCCGCAACTCTCACAACTCGGCTACCGCGTACGCGAAACTCGCCTGCTTCGTTTGCTTTTTTGAACAAAAGACAACAACTGGCCGTTTTTACCAGTGTTGTCATCGAAAATTCCCCGGACCCGAGTTAATTCCCAAAAATTTCGAGCATTTGTTCGGCTGCTTATCCTCATTTTAAAGAGGAAAATGCATGAGTTAAAGCAAATTAAGGCTGGTTATGCAAATAATCGAGCCCGTTTGTCCACCGTATAAAACTCCTTTCGAGCTCATATATTCTGGACGCGGGGAAATCAAATTTCATCGAAATAACACGCACTCTGAAATTTTATATGTATCAGCCGCTTACTTTGAAAGTGGTATAAAGTAGTCACTTCATATCCCTTGGACTTTATTGGCCGGTTAGTTGTATCTGGACGCGTCCGTTATTCGTTCAATTTCATCCAACAAAGGTAAAAAACGTTTTCTTAATAGTATATGTTAATAGAAAGATTTACAGATGCATTCGGTTACAAGTAACTGGTAATTTATGTCACTTTCAAAATAAACGGCTCATATAAAGATAAAATTAATCTTTGAAAAAGGAATTCATTCGTTGGTTTAATTAGTACTACATATTTGCGAATTAACCACCAGGCCTAAGCATATTTCATGTTTTATTATTTTTTCTGCAGCAATTCGGTGAGTAATAAAAAATTTCCTTATAATGGTGGCGTAAAAATTAAGCACTTACATACATAACAGTGCTTAAAAAAAAAAAACATTTTGTTGCAATGCATAAAAGCTATCTCAAGTGATTGTTATTTGTGATAAAAAAAAGAGAAACGGATTTTTTTATTTTGAAAAAAAAAAAATTAAGAGATCGCGCTAGTCGGTTTTTTTTTATAAAAACGTTGACGTTCTAATTTTTTTATTTTATTTTAGTGACATATTAAAATGCTGCTAAAAAGGTTAATGGTAAATGTAAAAGCACATGTAATTTCCCTGGTATTATTGGGGAACATCACCTTAATTACTTACCTGTCATGAACTGTTAGAAGAGGCCAGTTCCCGAAAATATGATTTCAAAAAGATACTATTTACGCCTTGTCATGGGCTGGAACTTGTTACTAAAGGGTTTCTGGGGATTTTTTTTACGAATCTGAAGTCGGTTTTTCAAAATTCAAAAAGGCAGATCCAAAATGGCGATCATTTTTTTTTTTTAATGATTGGATTTTTTCGAAACTCGACATGCGGTAGTTTTTGGGGCCGCTGATTACGAATACAAAGTCAATTTTTTTAATTCAAAATGGCGGTTCCAATATGACTATAAAGGTAAAAAAAGAATACTAAAATTAAAACGTTGATGCTGAACGTTTTAAGCATTTTCATGGGTTGAAACTCGTTACCAATCATTTTTAAAAAAATGTATCGCCATATTAGTACCACCATTTTGAATTTTGAAAAACTGACATGCACTTTAACATATTACGTAAATAAAAAAAATAGAACATCAGCGTTTTTATAAGAATGTACACACTTTCGTACAGAAACTGATAAATTTTAAGCCACACATGCAAATGCATGAACTAGCTTACGAATTTAACATCCGCTTTGTTTAGCAACATCCATAACAACGCCAGAGGCAGCAAAAGTAGCAGCATGTTGCTAAAATGTCTCGTTCTATCCACCTGTTGCAAATGGTGTACGGATAAAAAAAATAGCATTGTCAATGGGGTCAAGAGTGAAGGTTTGCCGATTTGAAGAACTATTTTGCCTATAGACTTATTTTACAGTTACTTTTGCGCTCGAATAATATTTCGCCAAACTAAAGCTAGTGAAGCGAGTATGCCGGTATGAGATTTCATAAAGCCTGTTACCATTGTTACTAATACGAGAAAAAATTGTCATTCATGCGGCTTAAAAAATCCACACATTCGCAAACACATATTTGTGCACACAAAAACACATATGTATGTACATACATATCGCTGCCTAAAGGTGAAAAGGTATTATTCCA